GGACTGTTTTAGCTTTTTAAGCCAATCAGTTACCGATTATAGAATTATATTATATGAAACCAAAATTATTGTTATTAAAAGAATACATGGAAGAAAGCCTTAAAAGTATTACCAGGGCCAGCCGAGTGGCGCGATGGTTAAGAACTGGTTTGGGACGCCGGAGGGCCCCGGTTGGGATCCCACATATGAGGGCCAGTGACACTGCCCTCCACAGCTAAGATGCTGAACAACAGCTCAACCTGGAGCTGGGCTGCCGTGAGTTGCTGGCGATGGCTTAGGCTGCAGCCCCTGTGGCAGTGGGTTGCTATGGGCTACCGTGTATACCCAGCAGCCAGCATGAGCGGCCAGCAGCCGCAGTGAGCGGCCGTCTAGAAGCCGGCGACCGATCTGCCTTGCCTGGGAAGAGCGCAATGATGGTGCCAACTTGGGCCAGTGAAGCAACATCCTCCACAACTAGACTGAAGAACAAAACGACAGCAACTTGTCTGTCCCCCTTCCCCCAATTCCCCAGCACTGTTCCCCTCATCCAATTCCCCAATAAAAAAAATCTTAAAAAAAAAAAAAAGTATTACCAGTAACTAATTTATTTTAATCTCTTGGTAGCATATAAAATTAAGATTGAATTTATGGACTAAAATGATGTGCTTTAACTTTGTCACAGATTGTATACTATGAAGTCCATTTGTGTAAGACAAAAACAAAAGCAACTGGAAATCTGCGTAGGAAGTGTGGCCAGAAAGAAATTGGATTTAAATCTGTCTTACTGTTTGAAATAATTTTACAGCAAGCGTGTATTATCAAAACACAAGACAACACCAAAAAAATTCCAGATATTGAAAAATTTTAAAGGATCGCTTTTTGTGGTCTATGGATTTAAAAATTCTTTCTTTGGGAAATAAAATTTTATAAAAAGAAAGGGGGAAATCTGCTATCTTAAAAATTTATTAGGATCTTTAATTTATACATTGAATGGCTTCTCCTAAAACATATTTTATTAGTAAATTAGATGACATTTTGTATATTTTGTTTTCATCAGTAGCATAATGAAGTGAGAGCACCATATCAGAGACCTGAATGTCCTACTTCTGGCTCTTTTCTGAGTTGTGTGCCCTTGTGCAAATCACTTGTTCTCTTGGACTCCATTTTTTCACTTATAAGGTTGGCTGGAATTAAAAGATCTGTCACTTTCACTTTCTGTGCTTTGCTTGTTGAACTTGGGGAGACTGCTAGCACCACTTCCATTACTGCCCTAACTGAAGTATTGTTGCGGGAACCCAGACAAAGAGACAGGACACCAAGGCGTGGGAAGCAACTTTTACTAATGCCGGCACTGGCTCAGCGGATTCACATCCAGAGGCTGAGCCCCCACTCAGGTGGGATTTGGGGTTATATACCCTGAGGTTTCCAGGTTCCTTATTAGGACATGTGGCCATTGTGCCAGTTCCTGACTGGCTCTCAGGTGAGGTAGGAATTTGAAAAGGTTAAACGCGGAAGTCTTGCTGACCATACAGTTCAGGAATGTCTTTGTCCGAAGCCTGCACAAAATCCTTGGTGACCACATGGTCTGGGAAGGTCTTTGTCTAGGGCCCATTGCCACAGTATTAGAAGGGCTCATTCTGGTATTGAGAACTTAGAAGAAATATTTCAGACGGAAAAAGACTCCTATGCACATGTAACTTAGAAGCAGGTCTACACTACTTAACTACTGATACATTTGTTAACTATTTATTTTTGGAGTTAAAAACGGTGATACTCTAGAGAGGCTGATTATATAGTTTATGAGCTGTTCAAGTAACTGTTTTCATCCTCCTATTCTCTCTTTAAACCTAAAATATTTCTGATCTGATAATTCCCAAATCTGCTGTATCTGTCTGATTCTGATGCTTGCTCTGTCTCTCAGACTGTGCTTTTTGCCGTTGAGTATGCCTCGTAGTGTTTTGTGAAAGCTGGACATGCTGTATCTAGTAAAAGGAACTGAGACAGATGGGCCTTTAGTGTTGTTTTATGTTTGAGGCAGGCTGTGTTTATTTATTATAATATTTGCTGTAGTTCTAAGTGTCAGAAGCTAAAATTTCCTCCGTGGTACTCACTTGTTTCCTGTGTTGTGTTTGCATTTCCCTAGGGACTTATTAAGTAGGATCTGAGCCAGTGCAGTTCTTTTAGTTGCATTCCCCTGTTGTTATACTGGAGCCCTGCTGATGTGGTGATAAGGGGTGGGGGAGGGGACTCACAGGCAAACCCTATGGTCTCAGCCTTTTAGTGAGCCTGTACCCCTGGGCTGTGACTTTCACAACCACTTCTCAGAATTCCCCTTTCACCCTCACTACTTAGGACAGACAGGAAGTCTAGAGTTCGTTTGTCCTTCCCTTAAGTTAGTTAGGCCTTAATAAAATAGTTCTCCTTGAGGGCAGAATGCTTTGGGGTTATTTCAAAATGATTACTTTCTCCCTCTCCCCACTGGAAGGAAGTGGGGATTTTTCTTCAATTTTACCCTGAGAACCTGGTGGCATTTTTGGAGGTAAAACTCAAGAAAATGTGATGCCCCACCCCCACCCTCAACAGCCACCAAGACTGGGCCTCTAGGAGATTTTCCCTCAAATTAGTCTGAGATCAGTTGCCAGAAATTAGTCAGTAACCTTTTCAATGTGCCTACCACTTGCTGGCTCCAGTGGTGGGCTTCTGTTTCTAGTAAGTTGTGATTCTCTGTATTTGCCTGTGTCTTCAGTTTTTAAGATGGCAGTGTGCCCTTTGACCTCAGCTCTCTGATAGATCCAAGGAGAGTTCTTGATTTTCAGTTTCTTCAACTTTTTTCTTGTGAGAATAGTAGTGATGACTCCCAAGTTCTTTGCATGTCAGACTGGATTCTTTTAAACATTTCAGAATTTTGTTTTGTGTCATTTATGGGGTGACCAAAATGGAAGGTGCGGTAAAAGAACTTTTCAGACATTATTAGTTTTGATAAAGAGCATGCTGTTAGAGGATGTTATTATTTAGATAATCAGTTATTTTAATTTAACTTTTAGATTCAGATTTATTTTTTAATTCTGGTCTCCATTGATGGTTAGATGTTGTAGTTGCAATGAGGATACACAAAGAGCTGTCATTTTAGCATTGAAATTTACAAACTTTTGTGCTAAAATATAATTGATTAGTTCTTTTTTTAAGATTTTTATTGGGGAATTGGGGGAGGGGAACGGCGTTGGGGAATCGGGAACAGACAAGTTGCTGTCCTTTTGTTCTTCAGTCTAGTTGTGGAGGATGTCACTTCACTGGCCTATGTTGGTATTGTGATCATTGGGTTGCCGGCCGCTCATGCTGGCTGCGAGACACTCACAGTAGTTCAGGGCAGCCCACTGCCACCCCACTGTAGCCTACGCCGTTGCTGGTGACTCACAGCAGCCCAGCTCCAGTTGAGCTGTTGTTCACCATCTCAGCTGTAGAGAGCAGCATCACTGGCCCTCATGTGGGATCCGAACCAGGGCCCTACTGCTCAGAGCTGGTGCCCCAAGCCAACTCTTAACCAGTGCGCCACTTGGCCAGGCCTTGATTAGTTCTTTTTTTAAAAGAAATAGCTTTATTTATTATTACAAAGTTACTATTATAAAGATAAAGGTAGTCATGTTTATAATAAGTTATTTTAAAAATAGATAATGTAAAGAGGAAAGAAGTTAAAAACACCAGTTATTTCATTTCCCAAAGATAAACAATGTTGACATTTTGATTTTTCTTGTGGACTTTGTATAGCTGTTTTTAAAATAAAAATGGGTGCATAATGTACATTCTATTTTGTTACTTGAATTTTCATTTAAAATATATATATATATATGGACATCTCTCCATGTCAGTATATATAGCTCTGCTTCATTTTTAATGACTGTGTAGGCATCCATTGTGTAGCTGTCGTATCATGTGCCCTATAGATGGAAAGTTTGGTTATGTCTTATGTTTTTTGTTTTTTTTTTCTTTTCTTTTTTTGGTTATAAATAATGTTGCCTTGAATACTTCAACAGCCTTGTTTTTTATGTCCTTAGGATACATTCTTCAAAATAGATTGTTGGTGTGTTCATTGCATCCTCAGTGTCTGGTGCAAAGTCTGGTATATAAGAGGCACTCTGATATTTGTTAAATGAATGCTCATTAGAGAGCATTTGCTTTTTAAAAGCACTTGATAAATATCGCCAAGTTGTCCTACAGAAACATGCCATTTACATTCCCAATCGTTATTGTGGGCACTTACTTTTAACTTTTTTACATTTATAATATTAATAAGTGTGTATATTTATTAATGTAATTATAAGTAATTATTTTCTTTCATGGTCTCTGATTTGGTATCATGCTTAGAAAAGTCCACTTACCCTAAGACTATAAAACGAGTCACCAGTAATTGTTTTGTTTCTTTTGTTTTTAGCCTTTAAATCTCTAATCCCTCGGATATAAGGTTTCATGCTTATTTAATATGAACTCTTTTTTTTTTGTAGGATAATATTCCTACTTTTTAAAAAGAAAAGGTGCCTCTTCTTAAAATTTAGAAACTTGGTTAAAATTTGGAATATTCTAGTTCTTAATTCACTTGGCACCTAATACAATGATGATTTTATTTATTTTTAGTAAGAATACTTGAAGATACAGAGTTATGCTAAAAAAGAAATGAATAAATGAATCACTTTTCCTTGGTGATGAAAATTTTTTCCTTGGTAATCAGGTGAGATAATGGATAACCTTACCCTAGAAGCTGGAGATGATGCTGGAAAAGCGAAGTGGGTAGACATCACTGATAAACTCAAGCTTTATGCCAGTCATTCTCAGTTCATCAAACTTGTGGCAGAGAAACGAGATGCGCATTGGAGTGAGGACTCTGAAACTGACTGCTGTGGGTTATAGCTCACAATCTCCATGTAAGCCAAAGGCCAGCAAGTGAGCGTGTATTGAAAAAGAAGGCAATATCACAGAACTCATACTAGAAAGGGCACAGGGGGTGACTTGGAAATTGTTTTTTGCACTTTCAAAATGATTTTCACTTAGAAATTTTTACATCAGAATAAAATTACTAAATGTGGTGAAGTGCAACACAGAATTTTCTGCTTTCCATCTAAGAGAATATAAAGTCATGTTTTGTATGTATTCTATGTAAGCATGCCTTAAAACAAATTTAAACAACTTTGATGTTCTTTGAAGAATCGTAGTCTTGAGTAAAGGTAAATTTCTGATCAGCTGTAACTTCTGCTTTCCATCTGGCTCTTGTTTATCAGTTGTTTTTCGTTGTTCTCCTTGATCTTCTGTGGTCTGAAGGCCGTTTCTGCCAATCAAGCTCCTTTAGGAGGAGCACCACAATTGTCTAATCTGATTTATTTTTTAATTATTTGTTTCACATTTTGCTTTATATGATCTTGTTGAAGCTGATTTAAAAAATGGAAACCTTATGTATTTTTGCCTTTGGAGTCTTCAGTTTTATGAGGAAATTTTAGCACTCTTTTAGTCAATAAAGATTAAGATCAATGAATAAAAGTTTATGTTTCTCATTTTCAAAAATTCTGAATTAAAAAATGTGTACAGGAAATTAGTAATTTAAATTGATATATTTATTTTACTGTGTTGTAACTGTGTATGTCATCAATGAATTAAAATAGTTGGTTAGAAAGGAATTGAAATCAGAGACAGAGGAAGGTCTTTGGGACTTAGAGTTTTTGGTTAGGAAGGAAATGGTAAGGATTCAGGTAGGTTTTTGAGACTCACTGTTAACATATTATAATTTCCAGAGGAAAGGAAAGAGTTGGCGTTCTAGGTGCTCTTGGAAGCCTGGAAGAGGGAGGCAGATAACACTGCCTTGTCTCAGTGGACATGTGTGTCACATTCTGGCTAAGATACCCATTGGGAAAGTCCCATGACATTAACTCCTGTCAACCTGAAGTAGGGACTGTCATAATTCCATCTTTGTTTCACTTAGGCTACAGATGGGGCATTTGAAGAAAGGTGGCTCTGGGGTAGAGACATGTCTGCTGTCTTTTCTTTAGACATTTGAAAAAGATGTTAGACTTACACTGTAGCTAGAGGACAGAATGAACACTAAGGTAAATCAAAAGGGTCCCCCCTGCCTCGTCCCCCCAATTTAGTGTCAGAGCTACTTTGGTGGTAAACCTGAACTGAACTGACAGGAAGCTTTTCCCCCTTAATGTGACTCAGTTTTGCTGAGAAACATTAGAATATTTGATTTCAGGATGCTGCCTCAAACCCCTCTGGAAGAGTCACAAAGTTTATGTACGATACTAATTTTCTAAAATCCATAAAACCCTGGGCTCTGGGTATGTAACAGGGGACTTGTGTTTGACAAGGATGACATGCTCATTAAACGAGGGGTAGGGTGGCCTTCTCCCAGCATGAGAGTCTGATAGCACTTTTACTGTTGGACTGGAAGAAGTTGCTGCTTTCTGGCACTGAGTAGATTTCTCTAAGATTGAATGGCTTACAGAAGCTCTTGAGAAAGTTTGAGCAATGCCTGAAGAATGACATTTGCTTATATTTAATGGTTTTGATACATTTAAACTGACATTAGTAAAGATATTAGGTTATTTTAAAATTTTATTTAAAGAATGACGAAAGCACATGGTCTATAGATAAATTCTTTGTGATACTTTGGAGTTTTCACTGGAACATTTACACAGTATGCAAAATGATAAAACTGCTTCTATTAATTATAGACAGGATAGAAGTAGAGAATCTTCTGATAACTGAAGTAATCAGCACCATCTATAACAGAGAAAAACCAGATTAAAATTTTAGTTTAAGACATTTCTAGAGGAATGTCCACTCCTATATCAGTAGCTGATATTGCCCTGTGTACTTGCTTTTCTTATATATTGGATATGAGTACTATTTTTGCTTTCTAGGGACATTTAATAAAATAAATAGTAATAATAGATACCATTTGTTGAACCTAATTTTATCGCTTAATCTTTAAAACAATACTGTGAAGTTAGGTAGTATTATTCCCATTTCACAGATGAAAATGATATACAGGAAGGGTCTCCCAAGGTTTATTTAGTGCAGGACAGAGCTGGGACTTGAATCCTGGTTGACCTGGCTCCAAAACCCATTCTCTATCTATTGTGTTCCCTACTAAGGTTATGAAGCTCTTATGATTTATTACTTTAAGTGGGCAGTTTTACTTAATAGTATGTTATCCATAGTAATACAGGTATGGTTTGTGACTTGAAAGTAAAGGCCACATCTGGTTTGGCGAGCATTGTTGAAATTATTAGCATAATTTATCCCAAAGACCATAACTATCTTAAAAGCTAACTATTTTGTAGCTAAAGAGGGCGCTTGAAAATTCTCATCACTTTCAAAGGCTAAATACTACTCCACTTAGAAAGTGGTTGGTATTTTCTAAAATATTTGTGTAGTTTTAATAAACTGATTTTAAAATACATCCTTTGAAGAAAGCATTTGTATTAATTTGGTCTTGTTTATACCTACTTTCATCATATTATTAATTTGCTAAACTGTACACAATCTGAGGCTACTCAACTCTTAAGATAAAATTTTTTTTAAATGTATAATAGTGCTTGAAAGATATTTGGAGATTTTACTAACCTTATATAACTTCTGACATAGTAGTGAGAGAATTATTTCTGCCGAAATAAACGATACAGATTACAGTTATTATATGAAGATATTTTTGCCATAATTTTTTCTTCGCCTCCACCCATATCTCCCATATTAAGGGTATTTTATTGCTAATGGGTAAGTATTGGAATAATCATGAATGTTAAGAGGCAGAGAATAATGTGGTTCTGTCATACTTAAATGCTGATAAATTGAATCCTCAACTGTCTTTTCTGCAGCATAGAGCTTAATTCCTCCCACTTGGCCCATGATGGCCTGATAAGAACATTTGAAGTGGTAAGAAACACTAAGTAAGCACTTTAGGACAATGAAACTTGTCAGAAGGAAAACTTGGGTGAAATCCAGTCCCTGTCTCAAAATTGGAGTTAAGAGTATTTTGATTCATCGGCTTCTCTTAAGGTAGATTGAAATAAATACATACTGTATATAATTTTAATTGACATTCATTTGGATATTTAAAAAGAATATACCTTTTTGGTTTCTATTTTTCTCCTTTTTATTTTTTTAATTATTATTATTTTTTTAGCTGAGCCATCCTGCCACCTGTTGACAGCTCAGCAGCAGCTCAGCTCGGGCCCGGACTCAAACTGCTGTTGCTCAGAGCTCACACTCTTGAGCGAGCTCTTAACCAACTGAGCCACTCGGCCGGCCCCTGGTTTCTATTTTTAATATATATTTTAAATGAAGGCAAACTTGAGAATCAAAGTGGAAGTCTCAAGGTTTGTAGCCTTTCCATCAAGCAAGCTGATATTTTTGTGTTCAGGAGACTTGTCTTGCGATTAGGCCATTTCTAGATTTGGTAGTTTCCCTGGAGGTTTTGCTCACTGTTGAGTATGAATTATCCACAAGACAACGATAAGCTTGAGGTAAAATACACAGTTTGAAATTTCATAACGTAATATTGCATCTATTTCTGTAAACTGCAATTTTGTCAAATACCATGGGCATTATGAAAAGAATACCTTTTTAGATCTGCTGAAATTCTGATCTAAAGATCTTGGAGGAAATTGAGTTTGATTCATGAGCTCTAATTTGGGTAGATCTGTTGGGTTTGATTCTGCCATATATTTTTATGGCTCTAAAGAGTTTTATTCTTACCTTTTCTGAGATTCAGTTGTCACTTACTTTTATCAGTATAATCATAGAAATGAAGCCTTACCCCAAACAAGTTCTAAAAATAAAAAATTAATAAGATATTATCTTCAGTTCATTAAATAGATTTGTACTTTATAATAGGTTAAAAATTATATGGACTTACCCCGAGTTGGTTCAAAATAGAAGTGATTAACTGTGAAAGAAGGAAAATCAGTGATCAGTGTTATCAATTGATTTATTTTTAACTAAGTACATATATAAGTTAAAATTCTATATGAAAATCTGCTTTTTTTTGAAAAATTAATTCTTTTACTGCTTAGTTCTTTATTTGCATGTTGTAAGATTTTAAAGTGAATATGCAATGTTTATATTGGAATTCTCTTAATTCTGTCAACTGTAATAAAAAGAATGGAGAAGTTGGTAAAAGAGTCACCTGTAATACCAGAGACAGCTTAACATCTGGGTTAACATAAGGCTATTTAGTGACTTGCTTGCTTCACTTAATACTATGGATGCTAATAAATGCTAATAAACAGAAGGAAACAAACCAAATAAAAATTCTCTTAATTCACAAATATTTTCCTGTAACTACCTTATAACTGTATTCACTATATTTGAAAGATAGAAAATTGATGTGAATGGTTAAGAAACTCACCGTATACATTCCCTTCCATACAAGTGCTATGTTTCTTAAATTCCCGGTGTGATTGACACTTGAACCAACATTTTAGGATAACTATGAATACTTTGCTTACATAACCGGTTTCACTGGAAAAGTAGCTTCCACGTGGTCCTTCTGTTGTTATGAGAGTGGCAACTTGTTCAAGAAATTGACCTTTCTACCAAGAAGGCAAATCTTTGTAGAGCTGTCCAGTAAACACTGGCTTAGTCAAGAACAGGGACCTGAGGTGTTTCTTCTCTTAGGATGGCCTTTTCTGCTCCCTGACTTAACTAGGATCGCTGGGAGAAAAACATTCTTATCATCATTTGGCAGTTCTATACATTATTCTGTCAGGATTCTTTTCCAGATGGGTTTTGGCCAACAGTGCTTTAAAAAAGTTCAGAAAAAAAAAGTATAAATAGGTATTAAATGTTCCTATCGGGTAATTTGAATGAGTCATGTGTCTGAGGAGTCAATATTTTCAAAGGAAGAGACCTTGGAGCTAAATTCATACATTTACCCAAGGTCACACAGATAATTTAACTGTAAAGATGAGATTAGAATCTAGGCTTTTCAACTATAGGCCACTGCTCTTTTAGCCATGTTTTGATGTGTAAAGGTGAACTTGCTAATTTTGTAATCAATAATTATAGTTTCCTAAGACATTTTTAGTTAGAAATACGCTAGAATTTGTATGATTTTCCATAGGAGTTGGGCTATAACATTGCTTAAACAGAGTGGATTGTGGGAGGAGCACTTCACTATTTGAACTCAAAAGATTTAGGTTCTTGTTTAGTTAGGTTCAGAGGCCACCTGTTTGACCTTCAAGTTTCTGGAACACTTAAATATTCTTCAAGATGGTTGACTTTAAATAGTCTGTATTGAAGAATCCAGAAAATTTTATCTCAGGCACACAAATGATTTAGGCCTAATTTTCTGATATTTTAACAAATTATTGCATGTCTCTGATTCTAAGATATCATCAGTTGTAAAATTTACTATTTTTTAGTTAAGATAGCATTTTAAAGAAAAAGGAGATCCCAGATGAAATGTATATGTCTGTGTGAGATGTGTTTCGATTTTAGAAAATGTTTTAAGTGTGAGAAGTAGTTTTTAGACCAGGAAATAGAATTTTTTAATGTTATCTTTTATAACTCCAAGCATTTCTCCTGTGTTTTCATAAACTAAGATTCTGAATAACTTATTATATAAATAAAGGGCCTCATTAAAAATTTGAATGATTTGCAGTTCAGTAAAAAATTATCTGTTGGGATTTAGATTTGATAATCTTTAATATATGTTTATGCTAATGCTTTGTTAGTGAAGACATACTCAAGCCTATTTTATCTCCTGAAGCAGTTTATCTGTAACTCTAAGTTTTTTGACTCTTCACTTTTACCCTCATCAATGATAAAAGAGGTTGTTTTATTGATTTATAGCTTGGATGAATTGAATAAATGACTGAATGTAGAAATGTTTGCAGGCATTGAGGTTGTTTTTTAGCTTTGAATTTAACAATTGAGCTTTATTTTCTTTCCAAATGAATTAGAATAATAAAGACAGTAATTTTCATGATGAACTGCCTCATCTTACGAGTATGTAGGGTGTTGAATATAATATTTTTATAAACTTTATAGATTAACAGGTTAGAATATATTTACCGCTATAAGATCATTAGGTGTCAGGGCCTAAAATAAAGGAAACAATCAAATAATCAAGAAGTTGTAATTCAGCATTTTATCTTTCTATTACACATTTATATTAGCTTGATTAATGAAATCTTGCTGTTTAGAATTCTTAACATTTTAAAAATTGTCATTAAGATTCATACAGTATTTTAAGTAACTCACCATAGTTCCCCCCCCCTTTTTTTTGTGGGCTCCAAACGTAGCAGGGACTTCTTGGAAAGATCGTTAAACTTATGGTTACTAGGTTGAAAAAAGGCTATATTTTGGAACCACTTATTTATGAAAGAAAACTTTAATAATGACATTTCCTATAATTGTAGAGAAAAATTTGAATTAATATGCTAAAATATACACAACTTATTTTTTGGTTTGTGACTGAGTCAATCTTGTCATATGTAATTATCCCTCATTCAATAAAATCCTGTCAAAAGTAAAATTTAAATAATCCTTTTATATCATGACCTTAACCTTAAATCTAGTTTAAAGGCTTCTAGGACAGATTTCATTTCAATAAGAATGCATCCCTCACCCCATTAATGGCAGATATAAGCATTACATTTAAGAGGTGTAATGGACTTCATAAAGAAATCATTTTCACTATTTTATATTCTATAAGAAAGTAAGGCTCAAAGGAATTTAAGATTACTCCAAAGTACTAAATGGCAGCACTTGCATCCCCAGTTTATTTGACTTCAGATGTTTTTTCTTTTGGTCTCCTGGGTTCCCTCCACAAGATGAAGGAAGGAAAGTTTCAGGCCTTAGGTAGTTCAGTTTTCAAGGGCATATGAGATTTGTACATTAAATGACTCAAATCAGACAAAATATCAGTAATGAATGGTCCCTCAAAAAGAATGATAACCATTAATTCTTGGCATCAAATACTCTGATTAAATCTAAAGAATTTTCAAGGTTTTGTTTTGTACTCATTTAAATACTTTCCTAAAGGAAACTATAGTTACCTGATTTGGATCATATGGAAAAGGAAAGGGCAGAGGAATTGGAATCTACAAAAGAAGAAAAAAGTGAATTGTGAATAAAACAAAATGAGCATTCTGTTTGGCTTTTTTCTCATTTATCTATTTATCCATCCATCCATCCATCCATCCATCCATCCATCCATCCATCCATCCATCCTCCCATCCACCCATCCATCTACCCACGTATCCAGTACTTGAGCAATTATGTGCTCTCAGGGAGCCCACCTTCTAGTTGGTGGAGATTAGAGTCTGGTGGATTTTAAATACATTTTCTTCCTTTGAAGAGGTATGCTTATTTTGCTTAGTCAAACCTAAAGCCCAGGAATCTGTCTTATATGCTGATAATTCTTGCAAATCCATGTTTCTCTAGTTTATTCTTTGCCTGATTTTTAATACTATTCTGCCATCTGGTGGAAATAAGGTTTCCATTTCAGATACTAGTGATTATTTTTTTTTGCCACATAGATTTTATACATAAGATGCTATACATAATTGTATACATAAGATGTTAACAGAGATTCCTAAATTCTAATTAAAAACCACGATCCCAGGATCTTGCATTACTTTAAAGCAAATCATAACTGCATTTCAGCCAAAAAGAGGGGAAACAATGCACCTAGACCTGACTAGAACCAGAATAATTAGCAGTTAATTATAAATGTAAGTACCTAGAATTTTAGTAGCTAAGATTCAGTTAGGACATGCGAAAATATTGAAAGGAGAGAATGTTCCATTGAGGACTGTAACTTTAGTGACCAATTTTCTAAAGCCTCCTTAAAGTTGAGAAATAAACGGTTTGAAATTACATACAAGCAAAGGGAAAGTGTGTTTATTACATTTAGATATAAAAACAAAATTATGCAAAATAGTGTTTAATTTAAAAAAAATACTTAGGTGAAGTTTTCAAAACATCATTGCCTAAATACTGACCAAATTTAACATGTTTCTAACCTGTGTTGCAGCCTCATTATACTGGACATCACCCCCTGCTCCCCCCCCCCACACACACACACTGTCATGTCCTTAAGGTCTGTCCTATGCATTTACTGTTTCCTCTGCCTGCCTGAGTGCCCCACCTACTTCTCATTGTTCATGGCCTGGCTCAGATACCATCTCTTGTGAATGAAGTCTTTGACCCACAGCTTAAATTGGCTTTGTGTTTGCATCTAGAAGCACTTTTCAGATGGCACTGTTTTTTCATGTATGAATCTCTCTTCCTCATCAGACTATGAACTTACTCTTGTTGTATTTCCAGCCCTCACTATAGACCCCATTACATAATAGACACTCAGTAAATATTAACCGAATGAATGCTATCTGTCCGTACCAACAAAAGTATTACATATGGAATCAAGGCAGTTCTATTATGTATTTGGCATTGTTCTGTCCTTTATTAAAAAATGTTATAAGAATCCAGATATTAGAAGATTGGAGAGGGTCCAAGAAGAAGAGTAAACTAATTATATTGTTTGACCTGTGAGAAAAAGTAAGAGCTGGAAAAAAACTCTTTAGAGAAAAGAAAGCAGCAAGGTGATTGAGAAAAAGAATGGATATTATAGAAAGAAGTTAGTATTATCTTCATGAAGAGTAGGCTCATCATAGTCAAAGCAATTCAGTATAAACACCTTTTCAATGGCAAGTAGAGAAAGACATTGGAAGAAGCCGCTAAAGATTTGGGGGAAAATGTGCTCGCCCTTTGTCACACTCCACCACAAGCTATGCTGAGAGGGGATTGTGAATAGCTAATAGGCGACTTCATATTTCTGTATCAAAATTTAGAAAATATAACCATCGCCCAATTAATAAATACTTTTCACAGTTTGAGTTCCCCCAAACCCGTGCTTACCGGGGGCAGTTGTGGAGGCGGGGGAAATGGGAACAGAGGAAAAAACGGTGGTCCTGGTGGTGGGTAAAAGCTAAACCTCTGTAGAAAGAAATACGATGTCAGTAATGGCAGACAACTGCACTTTTAAAATAATGGTGAACATGCCATTTGAAAATACAACTGGACGTTTACCTGAGCACTGGAGCTTCCTCCAGGTGGTTCAAACTTGTAAAACAATAACAGCAACAAGGTAAGGCGACCTACGGCAACGCAACGCATCCCTCATAACAAAGAGATTTTATTCTGAATGAAAACAAGTAGCGAGCCACTCTTGAGCATTATACCCATCAGTGACGTAGCTTCACCTCTGAGATAAAAAGCAACTGAGTATCTAATAGGGAAAAGGTGAATTCATTTTGCCCAGTGATTAAAACATACTTTTTGCCTTTAAACTTATTTCCAAACAATGTTTTTATTTACATTTCTTAAGATTAACTATGTATGGCATACTTCTTTCTCTTTGAATCAACAGTTTTCTCAATTTAGTTCTTAGCGTTTAGAAGTTCAAAGCGAAGGGAGTGTGGAAGTGTACATTTAAAGTTTGTTTCCCCACACACATTTTAAAAGCTCCCTCACTTCTTCGAAAGCTCCTTTGTTACACACACAGACACAGACATGTTCAGAGGAGAGGGTTTCTTGCCTACTTTGTCCTACATATTCAGACTATATATAGTAAAAGACTCATAGATCTCATTTGTACAGATGTGGAAAGCATGGCTACAGTCAACATGAGACAGTGTGGGGGAAGGATACTGTCAATAAAACTCAATTCAAATGGTGTAAGACCTAGGTCACCACAAAATACTTGTTCTCTATTGCTAAGTTTCTTTGAGAGTTTCCTACGTTCCAGTGAGGACCCTTCAGTGCTTTAGATGCATTTTTATCACCCTCCCCAATACTCTTGAGGTAGTTTTGATAGCTCATTTTACAGACAGGAAAGCCATGGGTTTCTTCCTTGTTCCAGGTCATGCATTGAGCACATAGCACGTGAAGCTGGGATTTGTACTGGGAAGACCCTTGGGCTGAGGAAGAGGGGTACACTCCTGGGCCTACACTTTTCCTGGACCCCACTTTCCTCTTTTGTGAAAAGGAAAGCCATAGGAAATGCTTCCTAGCCCAGAAATACTGTCTCTAGAACGGAGGGGAGTACTCACAGGGATGGGCAGAGCAGTGGCCATGCTCAAAAGGCCAGCCAGGAAAAGAAACTTCATTCTGAAGGAAGAGTCTGGAATAGAAGGGTTAGGAAATCATTTTCAAAAAGGTTTTTCTATCTAAATCCTGTTCGCATTGTAAATAGGCTAGTTAGTTAGAGGTGTTGAAATGGGTCAGGCTAATTTCTGCAGCTAGATTCTGGTTTTGGAAGCCTCCAGAGTGCTTAAAAAAACTTGAAATGTCTTTTAGACATGACAGAAATTCTCTGGCTCATAAAATTGCATCCACTTCCTACTGGTCCTTATATCCTCACAGTTCAACCTAGGCCTGTTTGGTCCCTGAAGTGATTTGAATTTGTGATCTCTACCCACAAATCTTCAAACACCAGTGTCGTACCATGCTCAGTCTTGGGAATGTACCACCACCAACTCAAATGAGATTTCTTCTGGAATATACGAATAAATCCACCTTCACGGGCCTCACCAGGCCTTCCCATGATCTGGATGTTGTTACTGTCAATTACAGTTTCTCAAGAAGGAAATGATAAGGGGAAAACCTTGTCAGGCGTAAGGGGTTGGCAGGAAATAAGCACAATATGAGTCAATTCCATAAAGCAAATCAGTGTGGCCTTTAGGGGCCAGCTGATCCTGAAAGCAAACCTTTGTATGGTCTTCAATCACATGAAATTCAAATTAACTTACCTTGTGAGTTTCAAACCAAATCACTGTACTCTGGAATTGAATTTTGGAAGAAAAATGGACTTCAGCATGTTCTTATTAAGACTTGTCCCCAGCACCTGAAGCAAGTTATATCTCTTTACATATCAGTCACTCTTCAAATGTTTTATATGTTTTTGAAATTCAACCCTGAGTTACCTTTGTGCTATTTCATTTTGCCTGAATTTAGTAACTTATTCCCCTTTCCCCCCCTTTTCACGTCTTAGATGTTCACATCTTTTTCTTCGTTAGATTCAAACCCTTGAATTCTTTCTTCCTTTGTTAAATGGAACGATTAGAAATCACGAAATTATCCAACAAAAGACCATCTTACATTCTTTTACCTTGTGCAAGAGAATCAGTCCAAGTGATACTGTATGTCTTTTTAATTACCTTTGCTTCAAATGGCCCTTGGAGCACGAATTCAAGGAGCAGTGTAAGCTCCTCAGATCTCTATGCCTATCTGGTATTTAAGCCGTGTAGCTAATGCCTCTATGGTCACGGGCAACGTGAGTCACAAGATTCAAAGCTAAACTGTATAATTGGTTCTGGACTAAAGAATGCCAACTTCTATCTCAATTACACAGACAGAGGCTTAAAGACTGATACTGAGAAAATAACTTCATCTCCTTGGCTAGGATTAGAGTAATGTCTTTATCACAAACAACTCACAATTAAAAATTGTGACCCCCCCCCAAGAATATTAAAGTGCTTCTTTGATGTTATTTAGGACAGCTATATATACATGGGAGGCTTAACGGATAGAAAAATGTAAGGTTTTAAAATCTTTTATTATGTAATAGTTTTCAAAATGGAAATTATTTTCAAATAAAACACTTTCAGTAAACACTTAAGTAGTGTCTTTAGCATTAAAATTACTTTTCACTATTCTAAAACATTTAAAATGATAATTTATATCTAATTAATGTTTTCAAATATAATTTCACTGTTCTCAACATAGTAACAACTAGAAAATTGGTTTCTAATTAAGACCTCTAATGACAGTTCTCTGCAGCTACCCATAAAAACATCCTGAATTTTGAAATTTCTAAAATTTCCCTAGGTGAAAAAATTATAACTAATAATTACATTTTGATTAATCAAATTGAGCATAATTAGTCATGACATGGTGTGATGTGGTATGGTTAAGAACAAGTGATTCATTGAGCTAAGAAAAGAGACGATAAATACAACTTTGAAGTTAATTAGAAAAGATTATTCTGATAAAAACAAACTCTTCCATAAGTATCCTTAAGATAAATTCTTAGAGGCACATTCTCTCAGTGACAATTTTTTTTTTAAAGATTTTTTTTTTATTGGGGAATTGGGGGGATGGGAACAGTGCTGGGGAATCACGGGAAGGGGAACAGACAAGTTGCTGTCATTTTGTTATTCAGTCTAGTTGTGGAGGACGTTGCTTCACTGGCCCAAGTTGGCACCATCATTGCTGTCTTCCTGGGCGAGGCAGATCAGTCTCCAGCTTCTGGACCACCACTCACTGCGGCTGCTGGCTAGATACGGTAGTCCATGGCAACCCACTGCCACAGGGGCTATGCCATCGCCGGCTACTCACAGCAGCCCAGCTCCAGGTTGAGCTGTTGTTCAGCATCTTAGTTGTAGAGGGCAGTGTCACTGGCCCTCATATGTGGGATCCGAACCGGGGCCCTCTGGTGTCCCAAGCCAGTTCTTAACCATCGCGCCACTCGGCCGGCCCAACAATTTTTTATTTATTTCAAAAAATAATGCAAGATAATTGCACTGATAGCTTCCATTTCAGATAGGAAAATATGTAAAACAAACTTTTTCTTCAAATAAGTTGAATAAAGTGGTCGACAGGGTCTTCTATTGCCCTGCTTCAGACCTTACAAAACTCTGTTATAGTGTCTTCTATGTTTTTACAACCTAGCTTTTGTTGTATTAATAGTTACCGAAGAAGAGCCCAAATGAAAACACAGATATTCCCTTATGACACAGTTTCTTGCTATCAATTTACAGTAGTAATATTTATCTCTGACTTATAATAGGGCATTAAGACAGTTCAGGGCTTTCCACTGCCTGGGTTATTTTTACATTATGTTGAGGACATGAAATGTGTAGACATTTTGCAGGGCTCCCCTGTCCCCCAACACACATGCACACCTGCACAAAGGCTAAAATTAGTTGGATCACGCAGTACATAATCATCCACACTTTTAATTAAATTTGGTGAAGAGCACTAAAATGTTTCTTCTGTTTATACTTACATTATGAAAATAGCATTCATGAGCAACTACCATTTAACAACTGAACATTTGTTTCCCGTAAGAAACATGTCTCCTAACCATACTCACGCTTAAAAAAAATTTTTTTTTTTAAGTAGCAGGGTCTAGGAAGCACAATTATAATTTGGTATGAAGTGTGAGCCTGCGGTTTGTCTTTCACATATAATTGTTTAAATAAATGACTGGAAATAAACTTGAATAAACATTTGGACTTTTATGAATTTTTTATTAGGATATTAAGATATTGAAAATAATACACATTCACAACAAAAGGGCATTAATACATTTTCTTGACATGCACGTGGTATTATGGACAAAATGGCCATATTATGTTTTTGAGTTTTAGAATCAATAAGTATCTCATAAATGGGTGCAGAGTGATGAGTTAAACTCCTGTTCACAAACAGTATACAGTATTTTGCATATATTGATTTTATTTAATTTTAAAGTTTTATTTCCAAAGTTAATGTTAAATGCCTGGTGCATATACTGTTATCAAGCAATTATTCTCATTGTCTTCTCGGACATGCAAATGTTTTACTAAATATAACTCTACAAGTATCATAGCTGCAGATATTTTAGAAGTGGTCAGAACAGAGGAAGATGCTGGAAAGTCTGAGTTCTTTCAGATCTTAATTCAAAACAGGAGATTTTCATCTATGTCTTCTGTAAAAGGAGAAAACAAATCACATTTTTAGAAAGTAGCCAGAGTAGTAAACAAATAACGTTAGAGCTGGGGGATTAGAGAAGTCACTAATAAGGCGGTACGATGGTTCTCAGCCCTGGCAGGGCATCAACACTACCCGTGAAGCTTAGAAAAAATATGTCCTTAGGCTTTACCCCAGGTTTCCTGAATCAGAATTCCCCAGGAGTGGGCCAATTGCATGTATATATGTAGAAAGCTCTGCAGGTAGTTCTGATGTAGGGTTCAGAAACACTGCTAGAAGAGATCGAAGGTCACTGTAAAGGTCGCTAAAATATATATAATGCAAGTAAATGGAATTATAAGGCCAACTTTTCAATTAAGTAATTGTAAAAGACCTTGTTGCCACACCATGGAAGAAGAGCATCCTCTTGGGGATACAAGACC